TAAATATAAAAAAACCAAAGATAACAATTTGAAAATACCAGCACAGTTTAATTTTATCACAATAGGTTCTTACCATATGACTTCAACCCATAATATTTTTATATCGTAATAAATTTCCTTCCCGAAATTCAAGCAATAACAAAACATTAATGTATTATTATTATTATTATTATTATTATTATTATTATTATTAAGATAATCCTTGAAAACACTGCCTTTTATGATTTATGTAAGCTTGTAGAATGGAAGAGAGTGGATTCATTGAAATGGTAAAAATGAAAGGTTAGAAATGTTGAACAAATGATTCCGGTTACATCACAACAATAAACCAGATGCATTTATTTCATAGTATTGTTTATACATAAAAACTTAAACTTGATACAGTATTTCTTCCATTTTCCTCCCTAAATACTCATCCACTCACCCTATCATTAATGTATTCGTCTTTCTCATTTCGATATTTTTATTTTTTAATATTCATTATCTTTCTGTACCAATGTGACAATTTACACGGATCAATCATTATTACGTAATACATCCTACATTCCCGTATTATTTACTTGTGTTACATAGATATGTCAGTAGAAATTGTTTATGAACTGGAACAATTGGTTTCATGAACTTTATTATATAATTGTAGATTAATTAAACTAGGCATGAATATGATTATTAGCTAAGGGAATGGTAAAGTTTAGCTTTTTTTTCTTGCAAAAACACAACCGGCTATGCTAATCATCATACAAAAGTCTTGAATTCGGATGTTTACGCTAATGATAAACATTAACAATGATGAAATTAATGTAAATAACTTTACGTAAATGTTACTGAAACGATAAAATAACAACGAAGAAACAAAAACAACCTACGCGATATCGTCTAAATGTCTTAAGTTCATAAAAGTGATATTAAAAAGCTTCATAACAGGATAGAAGAAGAAAAATCCAGTTATTTGAAGTGCAGATAATGTGGAAGAACAAGTGTTGTAATATAGTTGTTGTTATAACATTCAAGACTTTCATAAGCTTAGATGGTGGTTGGAGGTAGTCGACAGGAAACCCTGTACCCGGGTTTCGTTCCATTATAATTACATGTATTCCATGCTGATGAGTACCAGCTACAACGAAACCTAGGTCACTGCTTCCAGTTAACTGACTCCGACTACCTAACAAACGATAAAACCACGGATTTTACATGTTACTGATTGTAACCACAAGGCGTTTAAAGAAACTATCAAAAATGTACCCGTTTCCATCCATTTAAAGTCTATCTTAATTCTATCTTTGTCTATTGACTCTGCCCCACATCGTCAACGGTTCAAGCTGCCAAACAATATCAGCATATCAAGACATATCCCAGTGTACTAAAAATAGTAACAGTACCAATGGTAATAGAAAACACTAGATATACAGTATGATAGACGGGGAAAGAATGAACTCATGACACAAAAAGTAAAAGAGAATTTTGGAACTCAGGGTCTAAGAAAATATATAAAGAGTAAATGAATCTAAGCCATGATGACCGATTCTGTCCCATATCAATCAACGTCTTCAAACATTGTTCACGATAGTCACGAGGACCCCAATTAGATAGTTTGCATCTCGCGAAAACAGATCGGTCCAACATGTAATAAATTAATGAATCGACACCATGATAAATGACTAAATTGATCGCTTTCTCTATCATCGACCAGCAATAACCAATACCGTATATTATATAAAATCCAACAAATGTTGAGACAATGGTATTTATTTAATTGTGCAATCAGTCAGTTCAGTAAAAAGCAATCGAGCAAAAAGACTGTACCAATTAACAGTTCTCCATCAAACCATTATAAATGTGATAATTTTTAATTAAATAAATATCACAGGAGTCAAGGCAGAAATAAAAAGCATAAACACAACCAAATTATTATTATTAATATTAACACACACACAGACTTAAATTGATGGAATTGCATGCGATATCCGATTGGAAGATGGAATTATATAATTTTCACACTTTTTTATTAAATACATAAAAACTCTAATATAATAAAATAATGAAACTTAGATTAAACGAATACAATTGCAATCGATAAAATCATGAATTTACAATCTAAGTAATTGCAGCACTCTTCCAAATTCAAATGAATATCCACTGGGTAGTCAGTAGCACTGGGAGAAGATCATTATCAAACGTAATCAATCTACGATAGAACCTAATTAGTATAAGCAGAAGACAAAGTAATAAAATGTATGCAGATAAGGTTTTAGTAAGCAGACTCAAACAGGATAGTTGATCGAGTGGACAGTGTTAGGTTTTTAGGCATTATGTACTTAATAAAGGTGGCAGATAGGTCATTAAGGTTGTAAATCTTCATCAGCAGAGGTAGCTAAAACATTTATTACGCATGCCCAATTAATGCCTAACTCGACAAAAGATGTTTATGGTTGTAGAAATCGTCTGGAAGAAGGTTAAAGGGGGCACCAAGACATAGAATCAATCCATGGAGTTATTGAACTGTGGGTCTGAGTCTTATCAGTAGATACAGACTAGACAGAGAGACAAATATCATCAACATAGAGCCTTTGATAGACGTATGTTGGCCCAAACTCGCATACTACACTAGCACAACAAGATGAAAATAATAAAAGAAATTGACATAATATAGTATCAATGACAAAAGGAAAGAGTAAACCTTGGGATTATGGTTGGAAAAGGTATGCGGAAATTCAAGATCGAGAGGACGATTAAGAGCGAACGCATCTGCACCATTATGACTGGTTCTGAGTCATTCTACCTAGTCTTCAGCCATTTATTGAAGTAATCAAACGGGTTCCAAACAGGTAGCCGTCGTCTACTAACATGGCTAAAACCAATAATCAATGACGTTTTGGTTTGGCAGTTTCTTGCTTTCTTCCAGCCTATTTCTGCACTACCAAGCATCGTTCGTTGGTGTAGATAGCTGTTAGACATACGTAATACATGTCCTAATCACCACAATCCATGAGGATTCACTGCCTTATCAACTGATTTGCGGACTTTTCGAAGTACTCTATGCCTGACTTCAATATTGCTCACTCTATCATTTCACGAAACACAAGTATTACTCGATTACACCTATGATTAAGAACCTACATGCAAGCTACATGGTTGGGGTTTGTAAGATAGCTAAGATCAGTAATTTGAGAGGTTGGGTGATGTATCTCAAAATCAATCACAATTGAGCCGACGCAATAATTCATGTTACTCTAAATGTCAAGTTCTGGTTCTTCGTCATATATAAATTTTCACTTATTCTCATTGAAGCATATTCTCAACGTTCAGTCTTTTTCATTGTCATTGCTACCACTCTATTTCGATTCCTTTGCAATTCATCTTATTAATTTCACTTCGTCGCGTTAATCCAGTAGAACAACCAGGGTCAAATCACATTTATCCCAGGCTTTAAATTGATAAAAACCGGCTAGCTGTCAGAGAATAATCAAGATATCAATTAAAAACCACTGAAATACAGCAACTACAAAATACAACTATTATCTCTACTGATATTGAACTATTAAACTGAGCTATTGAGTTCAGTAAGTGTTGACTATATAGTTACAGCAACGTTTTCACTATTATATATATATTAAATACCAAAAACTGTGTTGCAAAATAAGACCATGCAAGCAGACATTGAGAGCAACATAATAAGCCACTGAAGTCTAATAATAATAACTATACGAAGAAAGAAAGCAAGCAGTTATGGAAAGCAAGCAAAATTGATTAAACTGACAAAAGAAAAACTAACTGGCAAGCTTTAAACTGGATATATATATATTTGTATACCTTTGATGTTATATTTTCTGTTGGAATAAATTCATTGTTTTTTACAATAAAACTATCATTATCCTTAGGGACTTTTCGTAATCGTCTTGCTTCTTCAACTAGTTGTATCCTTTGATGCTGTTGTTGTTCTCGCTGATGATTTCGATGATCATGATTGGATTTTGAACTTGACTCCGAAGAATTGACTTCAGAGTTAGAAGTTAAACGATTTGTTTCCACCACAGATGATGTTGTATATTCATCTGGTCCAAATTCATATGGGTTCTCAGTAGTGATACATGAAGTGAATTTACTGTTTTTCGGTTGTTGTTGTTGTGTACTACGTTCTTTACGCATTTGATCTAAGAATTCAAGGCCAGCAATAGCATCAGCCAATGTTACACTTCTAGTTGAACCATTAGTAATTAATGTAGATGTTGACGTTGCTCCTGTAGTTGTTGTAATTGTTAATTTATTTGAATTATGTGAATTTTGACCTAACACTGTAACAGATGGCGATGAAGGTGAAGAGGATGATGACTGAGGATTAAGATGTGGTGTGGACAGTGAATTGCCACCATTCATGCCCAGAGACTTACACACATATATACATATACATATATATTAGATTTGATGCATAAGACACATTTGTAGAATACAGCGAAGTTTTTGTTTTGTTTGTAAGAAAGAAAAATTAAGAATGTCAGATAGAATGATTAATGTTACATTTATACAATGAGAATGGGTTTTATGTAAACATTTTATGAGAGAAAAAACGGAAATGAATCGATAACACAACACTATACAACAATGACAACGACACCGATAAATACTTAGAACAAATGATGATCAACATCACTATGAGATTGGACAAAGTAGATATTCAGTAATACAACTGAGACAATTTAATAATTAAATGTATATGAGACTGCCTGATGATTAAAAAATATCAACAAGCTACAAGTAAAACGTATTCAACTATTAAGGTTAGATATGGGCTGATAATCGAATCCAAAATGAGTGGGATTTTTTTCTATTTAAGACTTGTCAACATGAATGCAGCTGCTAAATATCTCAATGTTGAGGTTCATACTAAGACTCTAAACCAGAACCTTTCTTTTTGAGAACTAACGCAAACAACGGGAAAACATAAATCCCTAAAAACGAAAAAAAACAATATTTTCTTAGGCCTTATTTATGATCCTTTTTTTCGACTAACCTTTTACAACTCTATCCGTACATTAAATCATTGAATCGATTATTGACTCAATTTACGAAACGTTAAATTAATATTAACAAGAAAACGAAAAACATGGTGGGTCAATATAAAACTTAAAATGCATTCGAAACCGAACACTAGCATCAATTTATAGGTTTAATTGGTATAGGTTTTACAATTGCTAATAATCAGGACTACAGTTGACCAGTGTCTGGTGTTATACGTAAATTGCCTTGACACAAGTTTTAGTATATATTGCATGTAAATAGCAATGGAATCCGGGATGCGTATTTCACTCTATTTAATTCGTTGTACTTGTAATACATCCCAGTGTTGATCAATACACCAAGATATGAATATAGTACATTTTTGCTTCAAGTGTCCGAACTTTATCCTCTGCCCCAATTACTTTTTCCTCCTCCTTAATTCTCTATCCCACACACACATACTTTTCAGTATACTTATCTATTTTCAGCACATAAAGAAATCATATCTTCTAGCTAAACGTTACTAAGACCTTATATCACAAAAAAAACAACTTAAGTGAACACTGATAAGGCGGTAGTCTGGGCACAGAACAAACAAACTCAGATGATTAAATTCAAATTATCAAGCCCATTAAACATGTTATCATTAAGAGAATGATGATTTGAAGACGATGCAGTGTGATTCAAACGCAAATACGAATGAGATGAAACCAGAGTTAGTCAAATGTACGTTGCAAATCATGCAAAATAAATTGACTCAATGTATCAAGCGTTTCAAAGGTTTAAACAATTAAGTCCACAGCTAGCAATTTGATTAATCTTTGGCATAATCTGGACAACAAAGAAAGATATTAATCATTAAATATTGGATATACAGTCTCATCTTGTATCTAATTCTTTTCCTGGAACCATAAAATGTTAAGAATCATTAAGATTACCGTAAGGAAATCGGCGAGTGATTAATTACACTTACATTTGAAGTAATGTAGATAAATATGAGACTTAAGACTAGATAGAGAGAGTGAGACTTAAATAACATGTCAGTACTATAAATATTAAACATACACCCTATGGCGTAAATTAAGAACCCTATGAGTTTCAAAAACAATAATTCACATCAGAAACAATAAAATATATTCTGTCGGTGTGGGGTTGTGGATATTTTTTAATTTAATCGAAATCACGAACAGATCTAAGACAATCATTAAAAACTTGGTATAACAAGATGAGCATTTCATTTCAGCACTGCGCATTGGCAATCTGAGACCGGAAGTCTCGTGCGTGAACGGTTAACCTCTAAACCATTAACGCAAAATCCAATGATGCACAAGTCTAACTTTAAGCAACCAACTATATTGCGCAACCATGTTCCATCGCCTTTGGTGGATATGTACTGCTGAGGAGTTTCATACTAGGACGAAAAGATGATACATTGCTTTTAGGTTTTCAACGGTTGTCTAACTCAGATAGGTTTGTGAATTCGATAAAGATATATACGGTTGGATAAAACTGACCACTACAAACAGTCATATTGAAAATCGACGGTCAGGAAAAGTAATTCATAGTATATTGTTAGGGATACTTCGAGCTCTCTGGTTTAAAATACTAAGCGCATCAAATACACCAATTATCGTAATAAAAGATACTGCTATGTCATAATAGCTTAATGTTTACAAGTCGTAAGTATAATTAGCTTAGCCTATAAATCATTTTATGTATACTGTGATATTAAGTTTTTGTGGATGATGAAAAATAATTTTACGATGATCCGTTGCCCATAGTGGTAATTTTTGAGCAAACAAAAACTGTATTAACAGTTTATGTTTATACTACAACAAATAACAACACTCACTAACCATGTAAGTATTTGCATACTAGCATGTCAGACATACTTATTTGATCAAAGATTTACACAGCCGGTTTAAAAATCAATGGATAACATTAAGCGATGTGTTTCAATATCACTATATGCACACACACCCGATTTTTGTTAGACCAACATTGAAAACCAGGAAGCGTTGGACATTTGTTCCGTCCCAATATCGGGACTTCATAGTAGTGCCCATCTACAGCCGCACCACAAGGGACTGAAACTCCAGGAACTGTTTTAGCGCTCAAAATGGTAGGTCCTAGGTGTTGAGGAATACTATACTAGGGCAATACGAATGTCATGCCCACAGTCTAGCTAGATTCAGTCCGTTATGTAAACTACGAAAACTTAACAATTTACACAAAACCCCTGTAGTGATCTATAAATTTCGTTAATGCATTTGATCGGTCTCTTTGAAACTTATTGTGTTAGTATATCAACCAGTTCTGATAATATTTGTCATTTTATTGCATTATCAACGGTTAAACGATATGTATACTTCTTGATACATTCTGAATGATATTTTAAAAATCAATGAAATTCGCTAAATAAAATGAAAAGTTGATCAAATAAGCATTAAAATTATGCTTTATCTGTTAGAAAACAGAAATCTATTATTAAATTACCTTGTAAATAAACTTAACGTTTTACTAGAGAAAATGAATAGAGTGTTACAGTTAACTAACTAGACATTTGAGAAGAATAAATGCATGAAAGCTAAACAAATACTTGTGAGTAGACTTAAGCGTAGTTTCTAGTGAGAACTATAATAAATAAAGACCAAGCATTGGAACATATTAGAACGTGATTCTACATACATGACAGATAGAGAACAGAATAATATTAGATTTATAGGTTGTATTCGTTGCAGATTGATCTCTGTTAATGTAACATTATAACCCATAGGTCACCGAACATCTGCCTCGTTTCTGTATAAACTTTTTCAGCAGTGGGGTATCCACGACAACACCAGGGATCGAACCCAGGATATTCGGTTCTTGTGATGATTATCTAATCATTAGAGCCCCTGGTTTTGGGTCCGATTATATACATTTTCAACTTTAACCAGAGTGTTGCATATCATTATGATCATCCAATGCTATTAGCGATAACTGTTTCACTGCTAATAAGTCTGAACCAAATTCATACATGTAACAAAGTATACGCATACACATATCATTTGTGAAAACTATGTTATAATTTTACAATGTATGATGATAAAATCAGACTTAGATAAGACATGTTTTCACAATGTTTAAGTGAATCAGTTACCTGATGTAATGGACGTCCAGCGGCTGACATTGATCGTTGTTGTTCAAATTGACTACTACGCGACATAAAACCGCTATTACTACTCGATTGTGAATATTGCATAGGCTGATGTTGAAGATTACGACGTGGATCTACGGCCAATGGAGTAGGAGCAGCATATTGAGGAATGGATCGTTCAGATTCTTTACTAACTACCACAGATGATAATATTGACGATGATGTATTTCGATTAGGATTATTAAAACTACCACTGAAAGAATCACTAGAAATACCACCGAATGGTGTTGACCTGGAACTTAATGGTGATGGTGGAGGTGACCAACCAGTTGGACCAAAATTAGGTAATAAACTTGGCATAACATTATTCGCATTAAGGCGTCCATCTTGATTAGTATAATAATATGCTTCGTTTGTATCATTGCCACGTTGTTGATTGTAATAATCATCGATTAGTTGTCCCTGTGAACTGTCATTACGATTTGTACCAGTACAACCAACACGTAATTCTAGCTCTTCAGCTAACTGTTCAGCAGTTTGTTTCTCTTCCTAAATAAAATAAAATGTTGAAAAGTCAGTTGAATAAAAAGCATTATGAAGTAAACAATTAAACTTACACTTCGGTCAAGTAATTACATTATCGCCCCAAATGCCCTGGTATGGCCGAGAGTGGGGCGGGTTCGCCCACCCTCTCGAAATGTTCTCACATGGCCACGCGTATATAGCCTCTGCCAGGGAAGTCCTACTCACTGCCTTCTCGCACCACGAGTGTTGTTTATGAAAATGAAAGGACGAAAACCGAATGTCCGGCACTATAACCGGATCTCAAATCAATGGTGCACATGGGCTCCAGTATCCTGCGAGAACAAATGGCGTATGGACCGATTTCTAGGTCACCGGCCTCCATGGGACTGCATCTTTTCACGATGCTCTACTGCCTTGTGGGTTAGACCTTTAGGTCGAAGGCTCGGGGTGCGGCCCCTACGAAAACCACCTGCTTGGGTTTGGGCACCCGGGCAGTATCACAGCCCACACACAAATATAATGAAAATGATGATCTCTGAAAACTCTGTTCACGCTGCGATTTATCGTCAAACAATTAACATTATTATTATTTACCACGTCATTTATTCACTCTCTTTTATTTCCACTCTATCTATCCTTATTTTTCGACTTATACAGCAGCTCGCCTATGGTGGACATCCGGCTCTATCTGAACGTTCTCGAGTCACTGCCTGGTTGAAAATTGTATGTTAACATCGAATCCGAGTGCTGAAGCAGTCTTTCTGAAACCACGTGCACCATTCAAACTGGCTGCCTTCAACGTTCGCACACTTATGCAGGTCGGACAACAGATAGGGCTGGCGTTTATCCGTGGACCCTGTGGCATCTGCGTCTGGTCTTGCTGGTGTTGGTGTCGCACTAAGCGCTAGAGCTGAGGCTGCACTAATCGACTGGATCCCCATTAACAGTCGGTCATGTGCTTTAGATTAGAAAGTTCCATCAAAGTGGGAAGAAATCGGCGTGAGAAACGATGTCTTTTCGTCATCTCCGCCTATGCCCCGACAGATTGCAGCCCGGATGCAATCAAGGATGAATTCTACCACCAGTTAACTGTTCTTCTCCAGAAAGTGCGTTCGACAGATATTGTAGTACTAGCTGGAGACTTGAATTCTCAGGTCGGGCGTCTAGGCACAGAAGAGAGTCATTTAGGTGGCCGATGGGGACTCGTTGGTCGCAGGACAGATAACGGGAACCGTCTACTTCAACTGTGCACAGACCACAACCTGTTTCTCGCTAGCACTAACTTTCGGCACAGTCATCGCCGATGTGCCACCTGGCGTCCCCTTTCTGAATCTCAAGCCTGGACTCAGATTGATCACATCGCGATCAGCTACCGCTGGCGCGGTTGTGTACAAGACTGCCGCTCCTTTTGGAGTACCTATCTGGAATCTGATCATGCTCTGGTCTGCGCCAATCTTACCTTACTTTTCAGTGGCCAACGAAGTGACCGTCACCAAAGGATTGATGTTAGCAAGCTGGCTGCAACTTATGTCGCTAGTAAGTACCGAACCGAGCTAGCTTCTAGGCTAGCTACCATTCCACCGAAAAGTGTAGATGAGCATTGGTTGCAATTGCATGACGCCATGAAAATGGCGGGTACAGTCTGTTGTGGGTTTGCGAAACGTCCCGCTTACAAGCACTGGGTTTCTTCTGGTTCCTTACAACTGATTCACGCCCGTCGGTCTACTCCGGGTGACCGTGAGTTTGACCACAGACGAAAGATGTTACGTAATGAAATCGGGCAAAGCTTGCGTAAGGACCGAGAAGCCTGGTGGTCGGAGCGTGCTAATGAGCTGGAAGCAGCAGCTGCATCTGGTAATTACCGGAAGCTCTTCCAACTCATCCGAGCCACTGGCAGCAAGAAGTCTGGTGTGAGCGAAGCAATCTGCGAGGATGACGGAACGCCAATAACCAACATCCATCGACGTTTTGGACGATAGGCGGAATTTTTCAAAAGGCAGTTCAACTGGCCTGCTGCTACGGCAACATCGGTCAGACTGTCCTGCCCTCCATGGCCGGTGACGACTGATCCACCAAATGAGGCGGAAGTCCGCAAGGAACTCCAACTCTTGAAACGTTACAAATCACCGGGCCCAGACGACTTACCTCCGGCTCTTTTTAAAGATGGTGGTGACTTTCTGACTAAGGGACTGACGACGTTGTTTACAAAGATCTGGGAACTAGAGAGTGTACTAACGTCATGGAATGAGTCGATAGTTGTCCCTATCTTTAAAAAGGGTTCACGAAGTTCCTGTAACAATTATCGGGGGATAAGTCTACTTCCGATTGCGTCCAAGCTATTGGCTTCCGTCATACTTCGTAGGTTGTTCAAAACCCGAGAAAGATTGACTCGTGAGGAGCAGGCTGGGTTTCGTTCTGGTCGAGGATGTTAGAACACCGCCATACTTATCAAAGGCCAACAATCGTAGTGTTTCTTGACATCAGGGCTGCCTTCGATTCGTTGGACAGAACTGTTCTCTGGGATTGTCTATTGAAGAAGGGTGTGCCTGAGAAGTTTATTAACATCCTAAAAGCCCTATACACAAACACCTCAGGCAGAGTGAGGGCATACAACCACCTTTCTCCACTATTCCATTCAAGCAGTGGGGTTAAGCAGGGTTACCCAATCTCACCATTCCTCTTCAACTTTGCCATCGATGACATTCTGGAAACAGCTCTGATGGAGGTAAGTAATGGTGGTGTGGATCTGTTGCCTGGAGAAAAACTTCTCGACCTTGAGTATGCGGATGATATTGTCTTAATGTGCGAGAATGCCCAAGCTATGCAATCCGCACTTAATCAGTTGGCAATCAGTGTCCGTAGGTATGGTATGTACTTTGCACCTTCGAAGTGCAAAGTACTTCTACAAGACTGGCAGGATTCTAATCCTGTACTCACTCTGGATGGTGAGCAGATAGAAGTAGTCGAGAAGTTCGTGTATCTAGGTAGCTGCATAAGTGCTGGTGGTGGCGTGAGTGATGAGATCAATGCACGTATAGTGAAAGCCAGAGCGGCTTATGCAAATCTGGGCCATCTTTGGCGCCTTCGTGATGTTAGTCTGGCTGTAAAATGTCGGATCTACAACGCGACGGTGAGAGCAGTTTTGCTCTATGCTTGTGAAACCTGGCCTCTCCGAGTTGAGGATGTTAGACGACTCTCTGTGTTCGATCATCGTTGCCTCCGAAGGATTGCTGGCATCCAGTGGCAACACCATGTCAGTAATGCAGAGGTTCGGCATCGAGTGTTCGGTCACAGAGACGATAATGAAATTGGTGTCACCATCTTGAAACACCGACTTCGGTGGCTTGGACATGTTCTACGAATGTCGTCCCAGAGAATTCCTCGTCGTGCATTATTTGCCGACTCTGGGACGGGTTGGAAATAGCGGAGAGGTGGTCAGTATATGACATGGTGTCGCGGTATGAAAGAAAGCTGTAAAGGGCTAGCTTCTGTTGGTCCTTCACGACTCCCTGGTTGGGGTCCGAGAGACGGTGTAACGCAGTGGCTAGAGAAGTTATCAGATATGGCTCAGAATAGAAGCCAGTAGCGATCCTGCTGTAACCTTCCTTTTACTTCCTTCATAAAAAGTGGTTGCTTCTTCCTTAACCGTAAGATTTCCTCTGATTGTACCTTTTCGTTTCCCCCATTATCTTTTTTCTCCCTTCTCATTGTTTGTTGTGGCGTATATATATATTTGGTGTCCCCCGTGTACCAATATTTATTTATCGTTAATCAGTTTGAGAAAGAGAAACTTGGGTTTCTAATGTTACGCTACAGATATAAAAAAAATTATCAACAGTTCAGTAAAAAAAAAAGTAACATAGGGACTGTATGAATTCAGTTAAACACGTAAATACGTGAGAAACGCATAAAACTATATATATATATATATAACCTATTATCTACTGCTTATTTGTCAATGACAACAACAGTAAATAAGGCTTAGTTCAACACACACGTGAAATAAATTTTTGAAAATACACAGACAAGGTATTCGACAAAATGGTGAATTAGTTGTAGAAATTCCTAAAAATCAACCATTGGGGTGAAGAAACCAGCCCAATTCTGTTCAACTCCGGTTTAGTCAGCCAGTTAGCCCATAAACAGATACACGAACCCATACTTTGTTACTAACCTACATCACATTGGTCAGACGTTAACTTTACCTGTATCATTTTGATCTCTTTATTTATTGCATCCAATTGATTTTGAATCAACAATGCTAATCTTTGAGCATCTGTATTACTAGTCCCAATCTCTGATGGACCTCTGCTTATTGGACTTGTTGTTGTATCACCATCTGAATCAACCCAATCAGAACCACTAATTTTTCGTTGGATTCTTTTGAGAGAACTACTGTTATTTTCCAGTTCATCTAAATTCGCTTCTTCATTGTCAAGAAGAGTCTTATAAAAATTAAAAAAAAAACAAAAAGATAAGTAGACACTTGCATATTTAAGTGATTAAAACCGGTACATAATTAAAATAACAATAATAAATATACTATTTACTGAAATACAAGTGATTCATTAGACTAAGAACCAGACAATTGTGTTGTATCACCTCATTTCAGAGTTATGAACATGAGAATCATGCCGCTCGATATAAGGGTTTTGCTATCAACCAAATCGAACAGATTGATAAAACTTCACAGTCTATTTTCACCCAAAGACAAAACTTCGACGAAAATCCAACTTTAAACAATCTATTTATATCTTCTGGTGTTATATATCAACGTCCGACCACTGTCTAACTTAGCTTCATTGAATGATATTTACTGATATAGACAGATGACTGACAGAAATATATCGACTGATATTTCGGTCTTATATGACTGAAAACACTAGCATTAAGATTAAACAAACATATTGAAAAGTGATATTTATAAATACAAATCGAGTAATGATTATGCAAAGGAGATTGTTTATTTGACCCAATTATCATGTACTTGAATAAAAAGTACATACGAGCTTGGTAATAACAATTATAGACAATAATATTTGTCTTCTATCATATTATGAATGAAGTATTGTCAAAACAATTAATTAGGTAGAAAATTAATAATAAACTAGTAACTAGTACCATTACAGCTTATAAATGTGTTCAGAATGCAATAAAAATATTCAGTTTAACAGGGAAGTGGAACGAGTATTTCATCACTGGTGAAGATACTGAGTAGTACACGATTAAGTCATCCTCAAGTTTTTTTCTATACAACCAAAAAAAAACAATAGTTTTCATATTTCCTTGAAGTACAATATACGGTGTAAACTGGATAACCTCAAAGGTAACCTAATAATAGACCACAGGAATCATCAACGAAAACAAGATAAGGACTAGTGCTGATTCATTATTTTATACTTTTCACGTCTTCATTTATACAAAATAATTAGCAAGTAGTACATATTATGAAGCAGAAACATGTAACAATCGGGTACATTGTTCATAATCATTACCATAACAATAGATAATATCTAATTGAATGTAAACAATAATTCAATAGAATTACAACATCATTTGTACTGTACACCAATGTTATCAACACATCAACTTCATTGCACATATATAAAACAAAAGTGATAATGAGATACTACTTGGATAGTAATGCAACACTTTAACAGAAAAATGACAGATTACACTTGAGATAATAATAGCAATAATGCTAGTAGTAAATGGTTTATTTGAGCTGCAACTGATGATTCAATGTGTGAACGTTAGTTTTAAATCAGAGATAACCCCGGGGAGAATGTCAGATTTCAAAAAACAGGGATAACCTCATCAAACATAGACGTTGTGAAGCATCTGGTTTAAAAAAAACTCAGCAACACATTATTATTATTATTATTATTATTATTATTATTATTATTATTAATATAAAATCAACATTAGTAATGATCAAATAATCCCGTTGTTGTTATTGAGGACCGAAGCCTCGTTAATAATGGTATAAAAACCATATACATTGCGCAAGCTAGTAATTATCTAGGCAAAAAAGCTCAGTGAAAAATGGGTGGGTATTTGAAGTAAAACTGAATATGAATCTTTGTGTAAGCATCAACACTCAGATGTGGCAGGTATATCTAGTTGATGATTTCCGGATAGGACGGGAAGCGCGTCCTAGATTCTGCTGCCAGACACAATCCACTATTATTACTATTAATCACTGTTTCGGATTTTATATAAATAGCAGTCAACCATGAACATCGTAAAATTGGAAAAGGTATACATTTGCTGAATAATACGAATAGTAGTATAAATTACACCAGATAAAATTAAATATGGATAAGATCGTTTTAAAGGGAATGAATTTTATCCCAGTGAAGATAAACACAATTAAAAAGTAGTAAAACTTCTTGTTTATTGGTAGATGATAAAAGCTTAAGACATAAAAGTAACTACAAAAAACATCAAACTACATTAAATTAAAATATTCATCCAGAGATTCAATCGATTACCTTGTATAGAATTCAAACAAGACGGTATTATTCAATTTCACGATATGACTCAATTTAACACAGTCAAAGACTTCACTGAACCGAAATCAGACTATTTTTTGACTACTACCGATTAACGAGTTGCAATATAGCCACTAATCTAAGTAACACGACATCACGTGTATTATGCTAAGATGATAGTTAACTGGTTGACTGACTAAACAGTTTGTTTTACTTTCACATTAAAAATAAGAATGAACCGTTACAGCTTGAAGAATATCAAACTAGAAATTGACAGTCATGATACCTATACAATTTCTTGCCAAGTATGACTGCTCAATAAATAAATATCTTAAGAAAATAGTAGCAAAGTAATTTTAAGAATTAAATTTGCTATACCATAATTATATACCTAGGAATGATGAAATGCATACTCAAAATGAATAACAACACTGCCAATCACTTAAAAACTCATGTTCAGTGGAAAAGAATATTAGATTTCACGTTTTTGAAAGAAATACCATATATATATATACCACGCAACTAACTGTATGCTGAAGGACAGTTAAAACAGTCGATATTGATGGATAAAGATCGATGTAACATTAGTTACAGAGATACTACATAACCATGATTAAAGCTTTATGATCAACACAACTAATAAGTTCAACCCATCTTGTATAGGTTGTTTGAATCTTCCCACTGATGTTTAGGATGGTCTCGATCACTAATCATCCCAGTCTATATTGAAGGACAAGAAACCTCTTGTGACGAACACAAATAAATCGGTTTAACTAATATAGTGTCTAAAATACTAGCCTCAATAATACTTCGACGTCTAACTGGAGCTCGTGAAGAACAAGTCCGACAAAATTAGGCTGGTTTCACACATGGTCATGGATGTATAGACCAACTATTCACCTGTCGGCTGGTTCTACAACATAGATACACTATAATTGTATTCCTTGACTCTAAGGCGGTATTCGACTCTATTGGTCGTAAGGTTTTGTGACAGTGTCTATCATTGAAAGGTGTAGCAAGGAAGTACATTAACATTGTACAGGCTCTCCACTTGAACACTATTGATAGAGCCAGAGCTTATGGCGAACTGTCATTCGAATTGCTTACTTTAAGTGGTGTTCGTCAGGGTCATTCGCTTACCCCATCTTTATTTAGCGTTGTCATATACATGTAACCTCATCGTCTAACTTTTCCAGGATTGATCTTCAAGTAAGAGATTAAATTGCTGAATTAAAATACGCAGATGATATAGTTCTATTTGGTGGAGACATCGACAAAATGCAGTCTTCTGACCACCTTCAGCAACAATACAAGCATGTTTAGTATGTGTTTCTCTCCCTCCAAATGTGAAATGTTGTTTGAGGATTGGCCTGTATCAGACTCTAAATTAGTTATAGTGAGTGAAGTGGCAGATATTATCTTTATTGCATACTATTATAAACCGATAAGATTTTTTAGTCAAAAATAAGCCCTATCCGCTTTACTAGCATTCTGCAAAACAGTCATACTAAATCTTGATGATAATTATAATAAGTAGAATATGAACTCGATATATGCATGCATCAGTATGATGTAATTAATACTGATGAGAAATCCTGTGTATAGATCAATACTGGTGATAAACAAATACACCCAGTAAACAAAATATGTTTATTTTCACTGTTGAAATCAGGAATTGTTCTTAGATAAACCATCATTGAAAACCTAGAAGCTCCCGATGGATGTTTCGTCCTAGTAGACAGTGTGCACCAGTCATCCCGAACGCGCGAAGTGAACACAGGGCCTTTGGTTTTGCGCACGGACACCTAACAATTAGACTCTTGAGTCGGCATTCAACGGTGTTAATATCTAACTTCAATCAATGTGTGATCCTGAGTAATCCTTCATCCATTACCTATGGTGGATAACTGTCTCATACTCGACATCGATTAAACTCCGCCAGTAATGGCGTATCACTAAGAGGGAATTCGTAACATATAGGAGCTAGTCACTAGTGAGCACATGATTGCTATTAGTATGGGGGATTTGTGGAGATTGTATTATTTTCAAAGTCGGTCTAGCCAAAATCACTTCATGATTTCAACTGTAAAAATACAACAGTTTCCACAAATCCCCAATAATAATAAAATAAATTCTTAAGTTATTACATAAAGGGGGAAACAAACAAGTTTTACTGAAGATACGGTAATATGGTTAAAATTTCATGCTAATATGTAAAAACTTAACGTAACGTTTCATTTCTTATGTAACGTGACAATGAAAAAATAGTAAAATAGACATCATAGATTTTCCTATAACCATAATATTGTAAGATATTTATTATTATTATTACCCCAAAAAAGCGAAACTCCCTCAGCAACGTAATTAATTCGTCATTTTTCCTATCTAAATGTTTGTACATGAAAGGCTGTGTCGGAAAAATGTTCATTTTAGTAAAAGACAAGATGATTATTTTTCCAGTTATTTTATAAAAATATCTCCACGTAGTCGGGGTAGTAGTAGAACTAAACAACAAAATAGCAATTCATTAGGTGAGGAACTAAGAAATCATTGAGTTTTTTAAGAAAAAAAAGACAATTAAACTTTATAGTACGTAAATGTCTACTTTTTTTAAAGGTACTCATAAATACATGTATTAAATTTTATAACAATATGTACAATAGGTTATATATATACCATAAGTACTTAACCAGATAGATATATCTGCATGAATATATTGTTAACAAAAGTACGTTTATTGTTACAACAATCTGACATATAAAACAAACTTGATATTAAATTAACACAGATACTCTAACAACAACAACAACTGATTTTATAGAAAAAGTCAATAATTATTACATCAAAGTGGAAAAAAGAAAAGTGTATTGAATAAAAGTGCATGTGAACTGAAAGATAATAATAATAATAATTGAAATAACCCTAAATATCTTAAACCTGATTGATTAAAT